TTGAGGGTTCAGCCTCCTGATGAGTCGGTGAAACTCCGACGAAACAGTTTGTCACAGCCCCTCGTTTGTTGTCCTCTTCTCTCTCTCTGCCTACGATTTACCGGGCAGTTCTGTTTGTGACGATATATATATTTTGAATATTTTTTCTATAAAGACCGAGATAAAATCTATGAACCCTCGAATTTTCAGAGTTGTTGAGTCATACTTCTGAGCGTAAAAAATCGCGAAAGTTTGGGTACTTTTCCAAGACGTGGTATAATGATAAAGATGGAAAATGCGATGAAACAACATGATATTTATTTCACGATCTATTTTGTTTTTATTGTCTTTAGATTTTTATTGGAAATATCACAACCTAATCTACAAGATTTTAAAATTTTAGATTTTTTTGCCAATTCTTCTGAGTGTTAAAAATCATCAAAGTTCGCGGTTGAAAATTTTTGGACCGGACTCACCTACGCCTGCCAGTCGCCTCCTCCCTGAGAAACCCTGTCCGTAAGGCTAGGAAAAACAAATTTAGGTCGGCGTGGGTAGTGACGGTTTAACCGCTTCTCACATAGAGTGCTACTAGTGTGTGTATACTGAGCAAAAAAAAAAATGAATGAGCTAGTGGTCAACATAATAATTATAAACTCATTGGATAATTTGGTTCTTATCTACTATTGATGATTCAAACAAAAAGAGAAAAACCATCCCTAGTACAAAAAAATATGGATAAGTCAACCTAGGGTGAACTAGTAATTATGCTTATTATATTGTTGGGTAACTACTTTGGTATGAGAGACTCGCTGAAAGCATATAAGGGGGAAACGCCTCTTTAATAAAATTATCATACAAAGTTAAAGATCATCACTTTGATAAGCAAGAAGTAAAAACACGATGAGGTATAAAAATTACTCGACGTGTGACATTACACGAACAAACGGATGATGAAGTCAAAAGTAAATTTGTGATAATCATATTTTGCTACATTGCTAGACGAGGAGAGTGGACAGAGAGAGCGAAAATACTGAGACGAAGAAAATCAGGATACATATAGAGTGAGATTATTATATAAGTATAGACAGTCACGCCATGAAAAAAATAGTACATTGTGGTTGTATATATCATTAAAGGAAAAAATAAAAAATTATCAAGTGACTTTTGTGTTAATTTGTTCTAATATGATGTGCTCTACTTTAATTTTGCTTTCAACTTTGCTCATGTATGTCTGACTTTGAGTTTTTTACCGCTAAGAGAAGAAGAAGTTCCAATTGATTGATCCTTTGCGTTTATGCACTCCAAATACAGTGGACTAACTCATATGGTATGATCTTAGATAAAGCACCTTCATAGCTGACCCTATTTGCTAGTTGTGTAATCTAACATCAAGACGTGTGTGGTTATTCAAGTCCAGTTTTGAAAATGCAGCTTAGTGCAAATAAGTAGAAATACGAAAGCATACACGTGAGTCACCCCACATGTGCATGACAACCTTGTAGTTCTTACTACGATCAGGTCATTTCCTCTCTTATAACTGTTTTTAAAACCATAACTTTTACTCGTATACTATGTGATCTTTATTTATTTATTTATTTTAATGAAAATGGTGACAATCTTGAGATATGGTTAGATCTCTTTGATTACTAACACCATAAAAAATTTAGAGTAAGGGTCTCGTTGCATACATGTAATACTGAAGAATCTTACAAAAATTGTCATTGCACTCTCTATTTGTCCCATGTAATGAACCGTCGATGTGAAACAATATAAAGAAATATACTTACAATCCTTACGTTTTTCGACATTTTTTTTAAAGATTTGTAAGGTATATCCTGAAGGTGTCTTACATTGACGGACCGTAAACAATATATTCTCATTTATGTTTGACAAATAGATGTGGTTAGACAATTGCAACTTTCGAGTGGTTTATTTAAAAAAAAAAAAAGCGGGCTTTATTATTTCTTTCATTGGGGGTCTGTCAACAACTGGGTAGGGTAAACATTGCTTGGCGTCATTGGTTCATGAAGGGGATTGTTATCACAAAAATATGTGTGTGTTTTTTTTCTTGTTTTGGGCATTGTGGAGATGGCAAGGGTCATGAAATTTTGAGGCAAGTCGCAAGAGCAATGGTCTTTGTCGTTATCTGACAAGGAAGGAATGATCAAATATTCAAGGACCATGAGCGGATAAATAAGCAAATTTAGACGCCTATTCCGCAGAGGCTCAGGCATGTTATTATGACGGACTGAAGGCGCAAGGTTCATAAGTTAAAAATAAGTTGAGTGGCTTGGCTTGGTTCAAGAAAACTTGGTGGCTTCGTGGTATATGAGCGAATGTTTTAGATGACGGTGAACTTAGTTTAGAGGACTGACTGTTTTTTTCGTAGGTAAGTTTTATCAACTTGGGGCACTCGATTACTTGTTTTGTTACAGTGGACAGGCAGTGGGGAAAGGGAGGAGGGAGCACCATGAGCATAAGTAAAATCTCGAGCTAAGATTTCGACCACCGTCTTAGGTGGAATAGTGGTGGAATAAGTAGCTTAGAGCCTTCGGCTAAATTGATATTTATAAACTAGTTACTATAGAATGGTTAGGTAGGCTTTATCAACCTGGGGCACTCAGTTGCTTGTTTCGTTACAGTGGACAGGCAGTGGGGAAAGGAAGGAGGGAACGCTATGAGCATGAGTAAAATCTCGAGCTAAGAAGTCAACCACTGTCTTGGGTGGAATAGTAGTGGAATAAGTAGCTTGGAGCCTTCTTCTAAATTGATGTTTATAAACTAACTGTATGATGATTATATATTTGATAGCTTTTAGTTGTGCTCGACTCCGGTAGGCTGCGAGTGTTTTTTTTCCCCGTAGGGTGTATAGGTTTTTTGGCTTGTGCAATTTTGTATGCCTTGGTGGCAATTTTTTTATCCTTACGGTTGAGGAATATCAGCGCAACTGTCCAGGAGTTGGCCATTTCTGTACGTAAACTTTTCTGGTTTGTTTGTTGAGGGATTCCGGACACCAGACACACGGGGTTACCGACACAGCTATTGGTAGTCCTGACAGTCCCTTACGCTTCGTAAGACCACTTTTCCCGACCCATCCTCTCGACAATTCTCCTAGCGCACCCCTATCCTACTATCCTACCTCAGTACCGAGTACTCAGGACTATCACCATGCTAGAACTACTGTCTGGTCCAAGTCACCCTCTGAAATAGCATGGTGATAACCCTGAGTACTCGGTACTGAGGTAGGATAGTAGGATAGGGGTGCGCTAGGAGAATTGCCGAGAGGATGGGTCGGGAAAAGTGGTCTTACGAAGCGTAAGGGACTGTCAGGACTACCAATAGCTGTGTCGCCCTGAGTACTCAATACTGAGGTAGGATAGTAGGATAGGGGTGCGCTAGGAGAATTGCCGAGGGGGTGGGTAGGGAAAAGTGGTCTTACCAAGCATAAGGGACTGTCAGGACCACCAATAGCTGTGTCAGTAATCCCGTGTGTCTGGAGTCCGGCTTCTAAAACAACCTGGGATGCCCTGTCCCAAAGGCGGGTGGTCATCTAGAATGGGGAGGGTGGGTTGGGGGGGGTAACGTGCTTGTCCATGAAGAAGGGTGCTCTTCCAGCCTCTGGCATTGGAACCGCGCCTTACTGGGTAGACCTGCACAGATTCGATCGGAATTCGAACTCAGCATTTCATTCGAACTCAGCATTTCATGTAGGCACCCACTGAGCTACCGTAGTAGGCCAGTTCGCGTCCGGCCTCAATTTGGCCAGCTCCGAGTTTCCCGCCCGTGGGAAAGAGGGCTGCCTTGTTGTACTGTTCTTGGAACCACCCCTTACTGGGTAGACCTGCACAGATTCGCTCGGAAATCGGACTCCTCTCTGCGTTTCAGCAGTTCATGTGTGCACCAACTGAGCTACAGGCCTTTCTTTTTTTTTTTTTTTTTTCATTTCGCGTCCGGCCTTTTTTTTTTTTTTTTTTTTTTTTTTTTTTTTTTTTTTTTTTCAGTTCGCGTCCGGCCTCATTTTGGCCATCTCCGATTTCCCGCTCGTGGGAACGAGGGCCGCGTTGTTCTCCAGTTCTTGGAACCACGCCTTACTGTGTACACACCTGCACAGATTCGTTTGGGTTGGAATTGGAATTCGGGTCGGCGTTTCAACAGTTCATTTGTGCACCAACTGAGCTACGGTAGGCCAGTTCGTGTCGGGAGTCAGTGCATCGCGACACACTCTCGAAATGTGGAAAATGAGAATGAACTTGTCCGTAGAACATGGCCAGATGCGCCCGTCACATTTTTTTATCTTTTTCACATTTCTCGAGTGGTCTGCCGAGGCGCCCTCATTTTGGCCAGCTACCGGTAGCTCCAAGTTTCCTGGCCGTGCGAAAGAGAGGCCGCGTTTTCTCCTGCTCTTGTGACGTGTAAACCCGGACGAATCATCTTCCTGCCGTGACAGTTGGCAAGGACATTCTCTTCGTCATGCACCTTTCTCTCTCCTCTTCCTCTTCGGGCATGGGCATGGCAAACCTACGTGGATCGAGGGGTGAGATACACTGGCAGCCCGTGGGACTCAACCCCTGCATTGCACGCGGACGCCTTGGAATCGCCATGCGTAGAAGCGCAGGGGCTGTGGTGCTTGAATAGCAGGAGATGTTGTTTGGAAGCGCGGTTGGATTCGGGGTAGCAGTATGGTCCACAAACCACGTAGTTTCCACAGCGCCGTTTCATCCGAAGAAGAACGCGTTTGAGAGCTGGGGCTTTTTTTTGCGGTCCCGCGCCGTGGTGGGCGTACCACTACCAGATTCTCCCGTGCCCCGGTTACTGCACCAGGCAAGACGAAGTTGAATTCTTCTTTTTCCGCCGCGGTTCGTTTCTCTTCTCATTCTTCTGGCGTGGCGTCGTACTAAGGCTCTCCCCTCCGCTGTCCTGTCCTGGATGGGACGGTCGTGATGTGGGAGGAGCTGTAGCGGAATCAGATCAGACAACGTGGAGCCGGCGTTGCTACGTTGGCAAGAGTCTAATATCCCCTCGGACTCGGATTGGAAGAGTGACGACAAGAAAAATCAACGTGAACGTGTTCGCCGACGAGCACAGGGGGGGGAGGTATCGGCGCTACGGGTGGTCGTCAAACAGAAAGAGGGGGCGTACGTAAGGAAAGGAGGCAGACAGAAAGAGACGGATGAATGGGAATGATGGAGCAATTAGTAATTAGCGTTTCTTTTTGAATCAACGGCGCTGCTTTTCTCGGCGTGGACGTTGGTGAGGGTGGAATTCCAGTTGAAGGAATTCGGATATGGCAGTGCAAGCCGGGATGGCGGGATCAAAGCTTATTATTCTAGCCCTTGGGGCAGGTGAGTATCTTCTCTCTCTCTCTCTCTCTCTCTCTCTCTCTCTCTCTCTCTCTCTCTCTCTCTCTCCACCCCTTCGTTCAAATCTTTTCTGTGTCTCCGGACCTCAAGCACTTCCGGTAGCACCTTCGCGCCATCCCGTAAAGAATTACATTTAAATGCCGTCGCTGTTAAGCATCGTTTGCGCCGTCGAGATGTGTGGATCCATGTCACTTCGGCCCATGCATTTTAAGCACCTCCACTGTAGCGCCGTCCTGCAAGCAATTGCATATGAAAACGGCCCTTCATCAAGGTTCTCCTCGTTCGCATCGTCAAAGATGTGCAGTATGCCCTTCTCCACTGGATTGAATTTGAAGTGACGACTCAATTTCTGAACTGGATTGAACCTTGCGTCACCAGGGGTTGTGCTTGGGTGTCTTTGTCGATAAAAAAAGCGGTGTCGCTCTGCTTCCTCCGTGGTTGATATTGGTAGCATGACGTGAAGCTCGCGTCTGTTCCTGCAGCGTATTGTTCCATCGTCGTACCTCACCAGTCGTCTCTCCCCGGTTTCTCTACCGCAGTCCCTCTCCCAGTCCAGTGCCTGCCTTCTTGACGCCTCCCTCGCTCCGAGTTCCTCGGGGTTCTCTCCCTCCACGTTGTTTTCCCTGCCCCTCCTGCGTTTTCCCTGCCGACCGATGTGGCATGCTCTCTGCCGCCGGTCCCTCCTTCCTCCCGCCGATCTCGCCTATTCTCCCGGTCCTGACTCCCCGCTGCCATTCCTCCTCCTCCTCTCCGCTTTTCCTTTCCCTCCTCTTTTGTTTCCGGAGCTGCGCTTATCCTCGTGCGCGTGCTATTCCCCGGCATGCCCCCTTCTGAAATTGCTTAAACCCTTGCGCCTTTCCCCTCCTCCGCTCGCCCATGTCTCCCGCTTGCGCCCCGGACCCTATACCTTCTTCCACTTTCATGGAGCTCCGCCTTGCGCCTTTCGTGGGCCCTTCTTCTCCTTTCTGTCGGCCGCTGTCGTCCTTCTCCGACACCTTCCTCTTCGCCGGCTTCGCTTCGCTCTTCCGCCGGCTCCTCTTCGCACTTAGCCCGCCCCTGCCTTGCCCTTCCTCTTCACGCGGCCCCCGCCTCCCCTTTCGCCTAGCCCTGCGCCTACCTTGGGCGGGCCCCGCAAGCCCCTAACTCCCCCTGCGCCTCTGGCCCCGACCTTCCCCTTCTCCCTGCTTCTGCTGCACTTTTTCCTTGGGTGTTCCTCCCGTTTCCGCGGTCCAGCTCTCCCTCCCTTCTCTCGGCCGGGGCGGTTACTTCCCCCACCTGCTATGGCCCCGATCCCGGCTCCCGCGGACCGAGCTTCGTCCTCCACTCACCATTCCGATGTTCTGTCCTGCCCTCAGCCCGTTGCCCAGTCCTCTCCGGGTCTTACTTTTCTCTATCGCCGTCTGCACCTCCTGCTCCTGCTTTTCCCCTCTCTTTTGTTCCCCCCCCCC